ATTATCCCGTATTAAGAAATATTTTGGTTATTTTTTAGAGTTTGTGAAAAGTGGTTTTCCAGAAAAGCGGATCTGGGATGGCCTAGCAGCCCAAACCATTGTGATATTCGGAATCAGCACATTCGATTACTTATTGTTCACTAAGTTTTAACTTAAAAGCGATGTGACAGTTGGTGGCTCTTCCTTGTAAGCTGCGAGATCTAGAGAGTGTCCTGACGTCTAAAACAAGCTGCGTCAGACGTTCTTTATGAACAAGTTCTGAAGTAACCATTCATCTGTCCGACACATCGATCGTTGCCGACACGAAGAAAAATGCTAAAATCGACGTTGCCTGTCCAGAATCATTTAGATCGATGCGTCATTAAACGATTGATAATAGTAATTGTCGAATTATTGTGGAGGTCGGGCGTCCGAATTCGATTGAACAACTTGTCGAGAAACATACCGGCCATCCATTGTGTGTGGATCGTATTCTACTGGATTGTACGGAATACTGAGTACGACACACTGCCGTATGTCGACAAGGAGCGTGCAGATAAGTCAGCAGGGACTGTTTTTTAAACGAAGAACGTCATGTGTGATGGCTACGCGAATCTTTTCAAACGTCTGTGAGATGATTTGAGCTTGTCATGCGAGAAAGTGAGCGTGTATTCGAAAGCATACATGTCTGACTCAAGCGATGAGATATCCGTGCGATCATGCGTGGAACACTGTCGAGATCAATCAGCACTGGTATCTGGTTGATCTGACTAGGGACACTGACCATCTGGATGACAACAAAGCGTTCAAACGCGATTTGAATCTGTACTACTTTCTACAACGACCGAATGATATGATCTATCATCACTTTCTCACTGATGAGCAATGTCAGTTGTTGTGACAGCCGATCAGAATGTTACAGTAGCAGTTGCCCAAATTTCTTTGAACTCGACCTCAAACTGGTCAGTCCTCACAACATAATGCACGCCGGACTGATCCATCAAAAACCGTACGCAATGGTGCTGATACAAGCACTGCTCGGCGTGAGTCTCACGGCACCAGTCTCGGTCCTTGGAGGCGAAAAATTCTCGGCTCCCATTTTCGACTTCGTCAATATTGATGAAGCGCCTTCCACGTAGAAAGTGAGCCATCGAGTGGAACAATAGAGTGTCCACCACCACCAGCTCAAACGAACCAGCTCAAAGTGGATTACAACCTCAAAATTCCACCAAGCACACAACATGAGCTTGTTTTCGAAACGACCTCTTATCGGGAGCAGAAGTGCCGCCTCACCTCGGTTGATCCATTGATTTTGTTTGGTTGAATTGTTGAACTTTTCATCGTAGGTAACAATTCGTTTGATGTAACGTTCGTCCCAAGGATTGGTGAGCAATTCTTTGCAGATACCGCAATACTGAGCTTGTTCTGATGTCAATTCGTGGGGTACATTTCGACAGCTCCTGCTGCACTTGCCCAGACGATGAAGATGTTCATATATTGTGGAGTTTGATGTTTCGAACTCGGCCGACAATTTACGCATACTTGTGGCTGGATCGGCTTCGACGGCTTGGCGCAGCGCCTCTGGATCAATCGAGAATGGTCGCCCGGAGCGGGGCTGAGATTCGTGTCGCCGTTCTTGAATTTTCTGAACCAGTCAAATGTAGAGCTCTTCTTCACAGCACCTTCGCCCTGCGCTGCGCAGATGTTTCGAATTGCTTCGACCGCAGTAGGACGCAGTTGGAATTCGTAAAGCAAAAGTTCTCGAATTAGACGATTTTGTACACTCATTTTATAGAGTTCTGTAAACGTAATAAAGCAATAATTACAAGTGATTCACTTATCTCTCTGATCGTAAGAACGTGCTGTTAGATAATATATACAGAAAACTAAAAATAACTTATCTTACGGTAACAAATAAACATATCATTTATGTATGCAAATTCCGAAAACTTTCCGAACACCATAATATTAGACCCATATGAGTGAGAAAACTTTTAATCACTTGGTGATATTTCCCCGTTAGGCTTTTAAAAGTCTACCACCGACGTTTTTGAGCCTGTATATCTCTCAGACCAAAATGGTTCAGTTAATTGTGATCCGAGTTCTCCGGAAAACGTTTTTAAATGAGTCCAGAAAGCAAAAGAACCTTTTTACTAACAACCACTTATTCTAGGAAAAGTCAAATGTTAAGTAGGAATCCCAGTAATGAGCAAGTAATAAACTCCGTTTTTTTGTTAATTTATAATGTATAATCAAGGGATTTTACTGTAAAACTAAACTTTTGTCTGTGAAATAAACGGCATTAGAATCATTCGAGTTCTATTGCAACTGTTCCTTATGCTAAAACCATCACGTTCATACGACACTTTAAGGAACGACTCAGTTTTTTAAAGCATGTACAGCAAGTCAAAATTTGGAGACGTTGATAGTTTTTCATTGAATGTCTCGTTCAATGATTCTGTCAACAATTTTGGAGGGCATACATAAAGAAAGAGAAGCCGCGACATTTTCCATTTTCCTTCACGGTTTTTTAAATCCAATATTTTTATTATTTTTGTTAGATAGTTTCTGATTTGTGATATTGCTTCTACGCATTTTATTTTACACTTTTGAGATGCACGCTTTTTTTTATATCTTTTTCTAAAACTTGGCGTAAAAACAGGAGTTTTTTATTCCTTGTTCCGTTTCCGAGATAAACTAATGCGTCTAGCCAAGCTATAAGTGCACTTTGCAGTTTTTCCGATACTTTTTTGTTCATAGACTTTCTCCTACTCTTTTGAGTTTCACGGATTTTCCTTCATACTATTTCTTGTATACCATCGAACCTGACTTCTTTTTACCGCGTAGATCAATAGTGATAGAGTCGTATAATTTTTACTACCTTCATGTACACAATATACCTCCGGTAGGTAACCTACCTATACTTATAAAGAGGTGTTCAAACCCGAGTAAGGTTTTTCCGTTTCTTTGCATTTATGCAAACGAATTTTGATGTTTCTGTCATTTGTCAACTCTTTCTTGGCGTCCATCAATTTAATAAGAAAGATGCGTCCGATAACAAGTTTTTTCCATAATTGGATATAGTATTTTTTCAAAAAACCGCCGAAGGCGAACTTCGATGCAAACGATATGCTTTTGTCCACACTTGGAAATAGGATTTGCAGAAAAGAGCATCTCATTGACAAGTACTTTTACGTGCCCAAATGAACATTGCGTGTCTATTGAGCATTAGTACTAATTATCATGGTTTGTACTGAACTGTCGTTACCAGTGGACGCCTGTTAAAAGCCCTTGGTCTTTACAGATCGCCAGATGCAACGTGTCAAAGAGACCGATGACATTCAATACAAACCGCGATTCTTCGAAACAGATTAGGGGAGGTTTAGAAGAACATTGGGATAGGTGTAAATTGGACTGCTAGCGGTGTTTTCACTTGTAATGAAAAACCACTGGGAGTCCAATGTAAACTGTAGTTTCATTGTTAAAGATTGTGGTTGCGAGCATTAGTTTTTGTTTTTGCTATAGTATCTTCTGAGTGCCACCACAGTCGTAGGAAAAAGTCGATGAAGTTTTGAACAACTCAGTCATACAAAATGATGTTTTGGCTAGAATATTGATAAAAGATGATTTTGCTCAAAGAAATGAAAATAACACACTGTGTTATAGGTGATTGGGTTGCTTCGTTTAATGAAAAACAAACACAATCTGATTATACATTTCACTTACCTGATGGTACCAAGGTGAGAAATTATGGAATGATGCATCAAAGAAAAACATATCATTATATTGATGCAACAAATGAATTACAATCACAAATATTATTTGTTCCATATCAAAGTTCTAATAAAACCACAACACAATATGTATGTACAATTATATTACCTAATCGTGGTATTAATTTGGATGATGCCGAACAAGAATTAACTGCGCAATTATTTAATCAATTAATAGAGAAACGACAACCAAAAGTTGTTGACTTGTATTTACCAAAATTTAAAATGGAATATTCATTTGAAAATTTAAAAGAACTCCTTGAACAAATGGGAATTCAAGATGCATTCAATAAAAAATTAGCTGATTTTCAACAAATGACATCGTCATCAAAACGTGTCTATATCAGTGATGTCAAACATCAAGCAGTGATCGATGTCAATGAATCAGGCTTTGAAGCGGCTGCTGTTACCATTATTGAAACGAAAGAACGTGCATATTTTCATTCTCCAGAAGAGGTATTAGAATTCAAATGTGATCGTCCATTTATATTTATGATACGTGAAGAAACGTTGGATACAACATTATTCGTTGGTAAATTTATGAAACCATCAAATAAATAACTGTTGTGAATTTGACGTGTTCAACACTCGAAAGTTCTTCAAATGAATTATTTTTATCTTAAGGTGCGGCTTACTTCTTTGCTTTCAATTATCGTCAAAAGATAGCGGTCTAGGATTAGGTTGACTAAAATTGAAGATTCACTTGATAACCTCAAGCACTGTCAAGTTTTCACAAACAGGAAGCTACCGTCTCATTCTGAATAAAATCAGGAATAGAAGATAAATCACCTTACAAGGCTCTTCTGTGATGAGTTTTCTGTAGGATTCGGATTACTTGAGGATTTAAATGTTTGGTTTACTGGAGGAACACATCAATGGACAAAAGTGTAATTTCCTTTTCCAGTACTTTTGAATTTTTTATTCTATCACTAGAATATCAGATTGACTTCTGTATTACCGTCTGTAGAAATGTAGAGTTGTTCAAAATTCTGTCTAATTTTTAGAGTTGTAAGTGCAACTTCCGAACTTACAACTTTGGATCTTCTTTTGACATGTGCAAGTTGGGAAGGTATTGTGCATTTCTGGAGAGGATTTTCGCTAGTTCCTCGATTCTTCCAGTTTTTCTGGATCCTTCGACATGCACCAATGTCAAATTCATCATCAACAAATTTTGCAAACTTATCTGGTTTTATCCAGTCAAGGGACGAAGCCCTGAAAATTAGGGCTTCGTCCCTTGAAAGAGAAAATTGCATTTTATTTAATTCATGCAAAAATATTTCGTTACACACAACGTTATGTTAAACAACAAAAGAGAGAAGAATGAAAGGAGCATAATGCCTGTAGTATGGAAGCTTGCATTAGACAAAGAAGACAATGTACCAAATTAAAACAACGGCCTACAAAATACAAAGAATGTTAAAAATAAGTGTCAGTAAAATCCAGATAGGTTTGCGAAATTGTTGATTATGAATTTGATATCGGTGTATGTCGAAGGATCTAGAAAAAATGGAAGAATCGGGGAATTACTGAAAATCCTCTCCAAAAATGCATAATACCTGGGACATCTCAAAGAAACGGGCAATAAGGATACAAAGGACAAGAAAAAGGGCGATAAAGATAGACGAAATACCGACCTTCCTTCTAGTTTTCGAAACAGAAGGTAACAAAATTTTGAAGTTCTGCATATCTTTCGCAGACACACCATCTTAAACAGGAAGTTTCGTTATATTATGTTTCTCACTTCCAATCATTCTAAAGTCCTGTCACTCATTATATACTCATATATTCATCACCAGAAGCTCCATTTTTGGATGAAATCAATGTTTCTTTAATATTTCAGAAATAGCTTGAGCCTTACGTTCACATCTCATATGAAACAGAAATGTTTGCTCTACAAAACTCACTGGAGAAAGGCATAGTGGAAGGCAGCACTCTGGGCTCTAAGGCAAAAACCGAAAATACCGGCTTTTTTCAAACTTGCTTTTTTCAGTGTTTTAGACCTACAAATCACTAGTGCAGCTTGACCAAAACACAAATTCTGTTATTTTGTACAGTTGATAATTCAGCACCGATTGATATATAAAAGAAAATTTTGAAAAACTCGAATGATGTTTCTTTGAGATGTCCCAGCTGGGGAGGTATTATGCATTTTTTGGAGAGG